AATATGTGGACCATAATAAATAACGCGTTTCTTGTTTATTGTGCAAAATACTTTCGATTTTCTGAGGGCCATTTTTTCATAACACACTGTATATTATGCAATAAGTAATGTCTTTCTGTTACTTACTATATAAATTTTTTGCAAAAGATCATCGACGTAAACCTTACAAGAGTTTCGAACCTGTTGATGTTGTGTTGCTGTCGTGGTTTGAAGAATACTCAGAAGAACTGCAAAAAACATGCAAGAAAAATAAATTGAACATGGAATCTGTGAAAGCATGTGTCACCGGTCTCTATGACAAGTCATGTAAAAGACGGCATAATGGCGAATATTATGTCGCAATTTGGGCAACATACTGGAATCCAAATGAGGTAGTTGTCTTGGCTCTCACGTTCAAGCATTACTACATTAAATGTCGTTATATAAATGAGAAAGGAAGGTCTGTAATCTTTCCACATAAGATATGCATGTACAGCATGTTTCATATTATTAATATATATGGTCATTTTGTTTATGTATTTCAGAGAAAGTCTTGATATTGTTACAAGTACGTCATTTCAACATCAATTCTTCTTTAGTTACATATTATTAAACTGTCCTACTCACTCACAAGATCAAATTTTCCCTTTCAAGAGCCACATTTCTACATATTAATATGTCCCATCGTAGGTCCACACCATCGCCACTGTAAAACCACCGCACAAGTACGAAACGATATCATACAGTACGTAGGTGACAGTGGATCAGGTATTACCAGTGGGCGCCCCAGTAATATTCAATCTATACGGAGTACAAGTTTCGTCGCTCTCAATTACAATCAAATTAATAACATTCAGAATACGGATCCTTGGTTATATTCCGCAGTGGATCAGGTATTAATCCAGTAAGCTTCGACATCATATTATATCATGAATCGAGTAAGAAATTTATTTTTTCCAACACATCCTCATATACATCTTCCTCATCACTCGAATCAATAGATCGTGCTACACCTTCAAACCATACAGCCTCCCAAAAGAGAACAAGATTATACGAATCATTCATTCAGCACGCCCCGCTCAACAAACTCCCCGAAACGTCAGAACACGACATCCAAACCCGTAACATCTATATCCATCCCGACGATTCTAGATAAAAACATGTTATCATATATCAGCATTCTCCGTAGTTTATCTATTTATTTAGCATTACATAATTTAAAATGATAATAAAATCCTGTTGATGTTATGTTTGTAGATTTGAATTCGAACTTTTCAGTTCTGCCAATGACTAAAAGCTTCTTCCATTGTTAACTAAACGATAGTATCTTACCATGTGCTTGAATGTAATTCACCATAAATGAATAACACAATTAAATTCACTCTTCACATATTTCTTTTTTAGTAATCATCGATAAAATTTTTAATTGCAAGGGGCAAATCCCCCAAAAAAACCCCTACCTAGTTACTATAAAGGTTACAGTTGGTTTTTGTTCGTCATATCTGACATGCACAATAATTGTGTGATTAAATATACTGTAATATCAAAACCGGTAACTTTTTTTTCAGTCGTAAAACCAGGGTTGGGAGCAAGTGTGTTAGTATTTCTATCATTCGTAAATTAGCTATGTTATGTTATTGTGGCCGTACATATAATTTACAAAGATTTTGTGCAACTGCATGCAGTTTGCAAAAAATATGTTGCAAGCTCATTATTTTATTCATCTTTGTATAATATCCGGTATTAAAAGTGTTATTGAAAAGGTAAAATTTAATTTTTAGCTGTTGAATTACCGATATAAACACCAGGTATTGGAGGCACTTTTCCATCCTGTACGAAGAAAGGTAAAGTCTATCAGTTAAAGCCATTACACAACAGCCGATTGGCTTGAACGCTCACCTTAAATGGACAATCAATGCTTGTGAAGCCATCGTAACTATTGATGGTGAGTATTACAAACGCTATTCTCTGGGTAAATTCTGCCGTATAATAGATTTGCAATGGTTGTGGCTTGCGACCAGTGAAGCCACATTTTTCGATTATATCGTTGATGATACTCAGATGATAATCTTTATTTGTACTATAGGCGATCGAGAAGGGTATATCTATTGTCGCATTAGATTTAGCCTTCAGGTGTACGTCTAGACTGCCAATCCCAAAATACTTGTCTTTGTAGTACGTTTCGTGCAAATGACCAAAATAATAGTAAGCCTTTCGGGAATAAAGGGTAAGGGAAAAAATGATACGATTTAGCGACAGGCAGCTGAGATGCAGAAAACAAATAAAATTACTCATTGTTGCACAAATGCCATGGGTTCCAGGCATGGACTATCTTTATATATTAATATAATTACCCTTGCGCTTGTCATAGCAGTTGTTTTAACGCTGAGAGAATTGAAGACATTAAACCGAAGAAATCCTGCGTTAGCATTGAATGCAGTATTGTTATCTGCATACGAGACTGTTTCGTCAGGCGATGGTATTACCCCCATGAACTTAATTTTAAGATCCTTTTTGAGAAGCGCTATTGTAATAGGTATTGCGATAGCAGCCAAAATTATAATGCAGCAACTAAAACAATAACACTTGACCCAGCAAGGCGTCTTTTTTATTCCCTCAGTCGAGGGTCTGTACCGAATCCGAGCCATAATTTGTAGTCGATGTGTAATCTTTCTAGTGGAGTGTTGTAAGGATTTTACTGGAGTTTGAGGAGGGGGCTTATAATGTATTGTGTCCGTTGTATTCCGTATCCTCTTGGTCGCGGGCGTTAAGCTTTGAAGTTTGATAGTATATAACCTGATAGTGAATAGGTTGGTATGTCTGGGTTATTTGTTGCGTGTAAGCGTAGCTGGGTTACGTTCTTATCGATAGTATTCAAAAAAAAACAAAAAAAAAAAAAAAAACTAGACATAAGAGTGGAAACTGTTCAAATACCTCCCGTTAAACGTTAAAATTATGTAGTCTCAAAAACTTTTATCGTTTTTACTCTTTCACGTCTGCCTCCAAATGTCACGACGTATCGACTCACCTTCAAAAGCTAATAAATAGTTATGGTTTTTTTGGCCGTTGTTTGGAAAAAAGTTTAAGATGAAAATGCTAAATCGAGCTCTGAGATAGAAATGACTTACACAATACAAAAAGATACTCTTATCGATGAAGATGCTTGCCAGTAAACAGATGTGGCTAATAAAATAAAATAAATTTGTTCTAGTCGCTCTTATTCAAGAATTACTCTTGGGATCAGTCATTAATGCATCTGTGTTAAGCGATTGTATGAGATGATCCACTCTTTATCAATGCCCACTGTATTTCAAGACCAGATCATAGTCAACCAATTTGCTTTAATAGGATAGCGTATCAAGGTACAAACTTCAGCCGCCACTCCCTAATGCACATTCCCTAAATGTACATGCCCTAAATGCACTCTATTCCGTGTTCCCGACCTCGGGTCATATTATTGGGAGATATACTATTACAAACATGAGGGAAATTTCCATGTCATGCAATGTGCACTTAGCACACAAAGTTTTTCTTTGCCGATCCGTTACCGATCCATTACCGCCCGCGATCATTTTTCAATAGTAAGAACTGAAACCGACTTGAAGGAAAAAAGATATTTTGACAGCAGATAGATTAACGTCAGTTTCATAAACTAATGGAGCTTTTGTTTTGTTTTCATTGACCTAAACGTTAGTTTGCTTATTAGAAATTTTTAAGAATTGGTCTTTATTTTTTTCGTAATGTAAACAAAACAAAAGCTCAACTAGTTTATGAAACAGACGTTAATCTATCTGCTGTCAAAATTTGATGGCGTATCTTTTTTTCTTTCAAGTCAGTTTCAGTTTGAAGCTTATATGTTCTTACTATTGAAAAATGACCGGTAATGGATCGGCAAAGAAAAACTTTTATATGAAAATTTAATATGGCTTCCCTTATTATTATGTTTGTAATACAATAGCCTCGTCAATAATCCGAACATGCTATTGAATTCAATAATTATTCAGTTTACAACTTAAGCCTTTTATTATTGTTTAGTTATATTATCACAACGTACACAAAATAGTTTTACCTGCTAACATCTGCGATTACGTCGTCTCGCTTTGAGGTGCGAAAAATGTCAATATGTAATTGTCGCTCACTTTGTATTTCAAGTACTTTAATTATTCGATGTAACTCTCTCAGATCTACAAGGCGGTGATTGATGTCGAGTATTCTTGTCTAATAAATCTTAAAATATTATCGATGCTTTCATTAGCTAATGCAACGAAACTGGGCCTTCATCCTTGGTGTTTCAATGACTGTGACAATTTCTATACGTCTCATTAGTTGGTATTTGTAAATGTTATCTATTTCAATGTATTCATTAGCTGACATCGGTTCTTCAACTTGAAGACAGTCAATAAGATGCTGGATAGTTTGCTCGTCATTTCGTTACATCGAACGTCTGGCAATTGCGTGTCAATATGCCTGTCTTATACTCGTGATAGTTGATTGTTGTACTCGTACCCAAGCTGAGACATTTCTTGACCTGTTGCAACGGATTTATCAAATGCATTGATACGGTTTTCACACAATAGTTTAGTTTTCTGTATTGCGACTACACAATATAAAATGGGAGATTAAAAATACAAGAACAAATTTCCTTTCTTTATTTATATACTTAAATGTGCTGTGTAGCACACGTATTGGCAGGAAAATAAATGAACTGTGATATTACTGAATGATGAGTCTTTGCCGAACTGGCGTGAAGTAGCATTGTCAACAAGTAGGAGAATTTTCGTTGTTTATGACGCATGTCGGAATTCAGCTTATTTAGCCAGTGCTTGAATATGGACGATTGCATCCATGCAGAAGAGTGTGTCTTTGTTAATACTCTTCATACATCGTGGGTTTGTATTTTTATATGAGAAGAAGAGGCAATTTCTCCGTCCCAGTTGCATTACAAGCGAGTAGAATGATTATCCTTTCCATCTTTTTAACACCAGAAACTGAATGGGAAGAGATGGTAAAAGCCGTTTCATCAGCATTAAATACGTCTTTAAGCTCAAACAGGGAGAATACTTGCTGCAGCTCTGTCCCATATGTAGGTAGTTTTTCAAGCAAAGTGCTATTTGCCTCACGCTACAACTTTTATTAGTACGTCAATATTTGGTATGACCTCCCTCAGCATCACATCAATGTATGCTTTAATTCGATCTTGCATACTTCCGATGCTGTTAACTATTGTCCATATATCCCACTCCTCATTAATTATGGGGAAAAACTTTTCTTTTGGTGGCTGTTTTTCTGCGCTACCATAGACTCCATTTTTCTTTAAAACAGCCTATATTGAGGTCAAGGAAGAACCCGTCTAAGACGTTCCTTCAAGTCACCCTTGAACATCACGTGAGGTATGCTTCGAGTGTTGGAAAACCACATTTGGTATGGCTGTATAATGTGTCCTCGAGTTGTAAATCTTTTTCTTTGAGCGCCGTAGTAAAACCATAAAAGGTTAACGGCATTACGATTCTCTTGGCAAAGGGCTGGTGACATTTTGGACGCGAAATTTACGAAAGCAAGATGCCTTTGTTTTGTTGTTTTTAAGAATTAGAATAGTTTGTTACCTTCAAATTTGGTACAAGTGAGTCTCGGTATAATGACACTGCTATATAACGACATTTCGTTATACTGACAAAAATCCTGGAACAAAAATCTATATAATGAAATTTATTCGATGTAACAACAATATATATAACTTTCGTTATAACGACAAATGCTTATTAGACAAATCTTATAAAGTATCGACATTTAATATAACGACAGTCGTTATACGCAAATTTGAGTGACGTCTCCTTTTTTGTTTATTAAGCTCCATTTTGATTAATATTAATTAATACTTATCTCGTTCGTTTACTTAATCAAGTATAAGAATTAATTCTTAATGACATAACAAAGCAGAAAAGGTAGGCAGAAAATCTATCATAGTGTTTTATTATAATGCTTAACTAATTTAGAAAAAAACTTAGCAATGCAAGAAATATCCCAAAAAAACAAACGAGATTTTTTAATTCTTGTAATGACACTTGAGTTTTAACAGTTGTCAAATTTATATAACGACAATTGGTTGAACTTTCTTTGTTGTCGTTATATAAAGTTAAGTTCTCAATATAAGGACATTTTTGATATAGCGACCATTTACTGAGCGTGTCGTTATATCGAGACCCACTTGTATATAAACAAATATCAATTGTTTGTGCTACTCGGAAGGAACATGAAAAGCGTCAAAGCCAACCAACTCATCGACGTCATCACCCTTATCAATGTGATAGATTTCATGGGTCGTCTTTAAGTCTTGCCGTCGTTTTTTATATGCTTTTACAAGATCGGGTTTTGCACAGTAATAAATAAGACTCGGGAAAAAGTCTTTTCGTCTTCTTTGGCTTGGTGAAAGCATGTACATTTCCACCGCAGCTATAATCTACACAATTATTTGCCAAATTAATGTTATCAATTGTTAATTGATTGGAACACTATTATAGTCATGAATGCATTACCTCTGCTTTTTGTTGAAGCCAAGCACGTTTGCCATCCGTCTTGGTAACTTCAATGACGTCGCTCATCAGTGCAATCAAAATATTCAACAATACGATTGCGGTCGTGAACGAGAATACTATTGTTAGAATTACAATAGTGGGGTCACTGAATGCACCATTAACCGAGTCAAGGCTGCCGGTCTATCGAAAGTCATTACAATAATCAGGATTAATTTACCATAGTGGTAGTCACCCACTGAGAATAAAAACATCCATTACTTACCACAAAAAAGTATATCGTAACCAGTGACATGGGATAAGTGTCAAAAGCTTCTGGTGTCGTAGAATTAGCAACTAGTGCGTTTAAAATTTCCGGATATTGAAATAATAAAAAGAACATGTGTGCATATGCTAGCACCATTATCCCAATAATAACAATAAACCAGATTACTCTACGAAATATTTGAAATATCATGAACACCGATATTCCAAATAATTTAAACACTCGGAATTGTAAAATCTAACAAAGAAAACGACAGGGATGTTAGGCAAATTGAGCAAGCTTGAGACAATTCATGTAACTATTACTATAAGCTAAAACTTACAAGGTTAACGTAGACAAAGAACAAAGATGCCCCAACATACGGCGGCGTATGAGCATGTAGATCATCCAACAGCTTTGCGGAATACAAAATTGGCAATATGGTCGAAGCCAAATTAATGTAATTATACGCACTATTACTATACCAATAATGTTCCCATTGTCCATATATCTTCGTCAACTCTAAGAGAAGGTTTGCAGAAGCAAAAGCCAGTACGAAATACAGAAGAGTTCTGATTACATTCGCAGGGACCAATTCGAGGTTGTCGGGAGAATCCAGAGTGATAGCAGTCGCGTATGCAGCAGCATATAATACATACATAAAGATAAAGAAGAAAATTCGCGTCCTAGCAAACTTCCTCCATTTAAAATTGATGACAGCCTCCATAGCTGGTTCGCCAAATATATCGTATCTACCAGATAGAGCCGTTTCAGCAAACGGAGAGCGAAATCTACGCCATCTAAACATATCGGTAAACCTGAGTAAGAGGGGAAACCTAGATCTGGATAGTCCTTTAGCAGTTTTTTTGGGAGGAGTCCGATATACAGTAAAGTCTGGTAAAGGGACAACGCATTCACAGGCCGGATGAGTTTTATGTGGAATACGAATGAGATTATTAGCCTTTTCAATCTTTCGTTTGAAAATAGAATACAAAATTTGTTACTCATTTAAGCAGTCACTTAACCAAATAATTAATAATGACTTGTCAAAACAGGCATAATGTATGCCCAATATATTCTTGTTTCATAATTACCTCGTGATCGATCCGTCTTTCACTCTTATAATAAAATGTTTTGAATTTCTGCCATGCAGTCTCATCGGCTTCGCGTGTTAGTTCCTCAACTTTTGAGAATGCAAAATTCTCTTCCTTGCCACTTCTTTCAATACTCTTTGTCGATGGCAAATAACTGAGCTTTTCCATCACTTCCAATGCAAAGTCCGGATACATTAACCTTAATTTGTTATATGCCGGGACGACAGTAATTGTCCATGACACTGGATTTTCCGATGCTCGTCTGCAATAATAGTTCAACAGAGAATGCACTACTTCAGTTTTACCCAAAGATATGGCACGGGAGAGAGCAGATTTGGTACGATCGCTATCATGAAATCGAGGAATATGTTTGTTCGTCTTTAACAAAGCTTTGATCATCTTATCCGCGTGTTTGCAGTCAGATCTGATTAATACTCCTAAAGGTGATTGACCTTTTACTATCTGATTAAATAAATGAGTATGTGACTTAATGGCGCCGTAAACAATATTACTACACTGCTGAAGAAGTTCTTCGAAATGGTGACGACTATTGCCTGAACCGATTTGAACCCAGTATTTACGCTCAATGCAATCCAAGAATCCTAGAACATAGGATGCGTGCGTAATTGTATTGAACGTGGCAAATTCATCCTCGCTCGGCAATAACAATTCTTCTTTTAACTCGTTATCAGAGATGGCTTCTAAACCGCGTGGCCGTTTTTTGACTCTTTGTATGCGTTCTCTGAGCGTAAATTCGCTTGTAGGTTGAATACGAAAATTGGAAAAGCAACGTATATCTTTACTAGAGATTGTGTAAGTTACTTGAAGAACAAATCTCTCGCCTTGCACTCTCTTCAAAATCGCTTCTTTGATTGTGGCATACACGGTGACAGACGCTTTGCGCTCGTTATCTTTCAATGGTTTGCACCATACATACTGCAAACGGAGTTTGGCACCTGATCCAAATATCCATAACTGTACTGTCTGCTTGCCAATAAACAATATTCGCTCACCCTTGTCATCAAGTACAAATGCTGATTTAACAGGATTATATATATTCCACGGTTCTATTCTCAACTCAACAATGGGGTGGTCATTTCGTAATACAGGGTCCCTCTCATATCCTGGACCTGATTCGTATAATCGGTCGCCATTACATGCAATAACTTTTGTAAATCCCCGTTCTAAGAAATGATGCCTCCCAATATCTTTTTCTGTTTTCTTCATAGCAGCCGTCTCCTGCTCTTTTTCTATTTCCGTCATCGGTAAAGTAATTTTGCTAACAGTTGGAATCTTTCCATCATAACCAACATATAATCCTGTCCCCCCTGGCTGAAATACTGTCATATTTCCCAAGTTGTCATATTGATTAACAATGTCGCAGGCGTAGATGCTCCATATTTGTATCTTATGCTCAGTATTCACTGCATTAACAGTCATTATATGCTCGTCTCCCTTAAGCCATATTACACTTCTCTTTACTGAGTCGGTATGATTGGAGTTTTTTGTATCACTTGTTAACGAAGATGAGAATACGAGACCTCCTTCACATAGGAATATAGTTAGTATTCCTCGCGATGTCCACGTGGCGAACATTTCTCCGTTGTTAGAAAGAGAAAATATGGTTGGTTGTGCATCTGCCCCTAAGAATGTGTCATCTGGCAAGCATCGAAAACGAGTTATCAGTTGACCTGTGGAAATTGACCAGAGAGATGCAGTATCCCACTATAAGAAAGGGGGTTGGTTGAGTCGTAGTTTTAATTGACATAACCTTTATTATCACCCTATTTCCAGACGATTTCCCACACTTACTTGTTCCACATATACAAAATACTCTTCAAGCAACGAGTTCTTCACTAAATTTATTTGTGTCCACGGATGAGGTGCAACTTGCAATGTACTTGCAAAGGCATCGATAACCACCTTGTGCTTTATTATCCAATCAACTGTTGAGAATATATAAAGATAGTTTCCATCTTCTTCACCCATAAATAAATCATGCTCCACATCACCCAAGATGAATCGTTTACTATCAGAACTGAATTTAATCGCTCCCTTTAGACCCATTAAGAAACGCCTGAATACAGGCCGATCACGCGTAGTCTTAACAACATATGTAAAAAACCTGCTGGGTTTGGTGGGAGGAGGATTGACAAGCTCAAAGGAAGTCGGATCTTCGGATTGCTGAGGAAGTTTAATAGTGCTGAGAGCTACAAATTGACCTGTACGTAGAACAAATTATAATTAACATATCTTCGCAACATTGAATCATTGACGTCACATATATCTCCTTCATTCATAAACAAATGCAAACATTTACCACCATTAGATAAGGTAAAATCGACATCGCTCATATTCTGTTCATAAGTAAACAATGGAGCAAAACTTTTCGTCTTTTTCAAATATTGTCTTGGACTCAGAATAGTGTCTTTAGTGCTAACCCAAGTAGGTTGTAGCTGATGCCCTCGCTGCAATCCATCTACGCTCCATATAGTAATCTTTCCCTTGGCTCCTGAATATGTCGCCAGATGATTCCCATCAGGTGAAAACGTGCACGCATCTATTGACTCTGATGTAGGTTCTGATGACAGAGATATGTCAACCCTCGTTTCGAATGGTTGATACCATTCTGGCTGAATCGACAAACTATATCTTTCAATTTCGCTTGAACGAGATGACGAAGAGTTTAAACTTGTTGTCACAATCGTATAATTTGTCGCTCGTTTGGACAATTCATCAGTTTCACTGTCATTATTCAGGCGAATCAAATGGCTTTGAATATAATCGATCAAGAAAATGTAAACACCAAGCGGAGAAGGTCATCTTCATTCATTTGTTAAATATATACCAACCATTCGTCCATCAGCTGATCGGTACTTTCCGTATTTTATTGGCTATGCGAGTTCTGAATATGGTAATATAAATTTAGTTAGCACAATGCAGCTTCGTAAAAAAATTTCAAATATTCAATTCAATTCCGTAAAGTTAAGGGAGGGATAAAGGTCGGTTATATGCGTTCCGTAAAATTTTTATTTATTTTATTTTATTTTGGTTTTTCGTTTTTGTCAGAAAATAGTACACATTTATGCTGATACCTTTCTCGCAGCCAGCAGATCAATTTCTACTACTTACTTAGATAGTCCAAGCAAAATTTTTTTCCAGTCCAAAATAGTAATAAATCGGAAACTGATTTGTCAGCTTAGCATTAACCAACTGTGTGTTTTGTAAATCAAAAAGCTTATCGTCATCGTATACGCCTATCCATTGTTTGTCCATAACGCAATCTCACCAATAAGAAATCAGTTTTGTTATCTAACGCTAAATTTAAAATGTCTTAGCATGTGCACGTGTATACCAGCCGAGCTTTCTTGTAAATATCAATGGTTCAAAAACGTTTTAAAAAAAAAACGTTGCAAAATGAGTCACCAATAAAACCACTCATCATTTAACACTTTCAATTATCTCACCACACACAGTAATTATTATTGTGACAGCCGAGCTGTCCTGCAAATATCCAATTGTTCAAAAACGCATCCACTTACTGTTCAGGAGAGCGTGTGAAAACGCCTTCAAATGTTAATGTGTCCCAAGAAAACACTCTACCATTTAACACTAACGTTAAAAATTTTAGCTTCCAATTATCTCACCATACACAGCAATTATTTACTGTCCAAACCGTAACTATCTTGATCATCGCCACACGCCAATTATTCGGGAAAAACACAACCACACAACACACAATTCGAAACAAGCCCCATATTCTTCACTTTTCGATTAATAAATAGGCTTATCAGTTTATCGGGGAAAGATACCAATATAAAAATAATCGCAGCACAATACTGTCTCAAAAATTATAAATAAAAAAACAACTGTATATCTTCGTTATCTATTATCCTAAAAGCTAACCCATCATTGAATAAATGATTGCAAAATCTTTCACGGCTATAATGTATATAGTTTTACACACGAAATCTATAATAACTTTACAAGTTTACCACTTACATATCTGAAAACAATTTAATAGAGGGAGACAATACATCATCTGAAGTCGTACTGCAACTTCAAGCAAACAAAGTATACCAAATCTCAGTATCAACCAGCATTCGATTACAATTAGGCGAGGATTATACTTTCGCCTCGAAACTGATCACACACCTACTACAAATCATGCTGATGTCACCAAAGCGGGTTACACACTCCCTATTACTATACCAGTAAACCATATCTGTCGAAAGATCGATCCCAACAATATACAATAATGTAACCCGTCCTCTTAATGGTCGCTTGAAGAACAACATTGTCAAATCAAAAAAAAAAAAGTATTTTATTAGTCCATGCAACTGTAATTTTATTTTATATTTCATTATACATACGTGTCGTGATGTATTAGCACCCTTATACTTTTGGTCGGACAGTCAGTCGCACAAGTTCTGCATTACAAATTTACCTTTTCCGTAAAGACTAAGCTCCGTTTACACTGATCTGCTGTTGATCTGTCATGCTTTAGGAAAGACGTTAACTATGAACAAGAACTAGAACTAGAACTTGAACTTGAACTTGAACTTGAACTTGAACCGGCTCTCATTTTTCGCCTCTGTCCCATATTCTTTTTAAACAGAAAAAATTTTATCTTGTGTATTGTAACAATACGTGTATGTTTTCTGTTTAATTAATTTGTTTCATTTCATTCAAATTTTTACTAACGCTTTGATATTTGTATTCATTTTTGAAACGTCTGCGCTTTATACAATGCTTTCAAAAAACTATGAAATATAAACTAATTTTGTTGTTGCAATGCAAATTTTCGTACGTAACGTTTTCATTATTGTAAACACGATTACATGTTCGATTAAAAATTGCCCTTGAGATCTGTTACCATAATGTATATGGGATGACATTGCTTCGATGTTATTATTTTTATTCCATACAGATAAACGACTTCTTTAGTTCGCTATATTAACTGATGAATCTTATTGTCTGTGATCGCTGTTCTCCAAAAAAAATTCTCATCTTGTTCAACTTGACACTTTTCTTCCATATATATGTATCACCATACGCTTGTGTTATCAGCACAACACTTATATGTACAACTTACGCACTTGTAATTTATCTTGATCAGAATCTGACAGATTACTCTAATGATACGAAATCGGTATTGCGTAATTTACGTCGGAGTATAGCAGTCCAATATAACCAAATACTTCCACCAAATAGTAGCAATTTGAGCTGATGCCGCAATTGGAGGTGGGGTAGTTTAGAGCTATTTATTATTGTGTCGTCATCAGATTAGTAGATTACATTCACAAGATTATTTCTATTTACTCGTATATAAAATACAATTCTTATATAGCTCTCTCATTTAGGAAACGGTGTTCCCTGCAGGTTCTGAGCTTGCGCCAACTGTCGGCCTACCGTTGTCCAACTCGTTTGTTATATTTAATGAACTTTTTAGTGCAGCGAAGAACACGCAGTATACTCGATAAAATAAACCTCTGTAACTTAAACCTGTATGATTCAAGGAATGTAGGTCAACTAATTATGTGGGTCTCTCGATGATGTGTGATGCCGCACAAATGTTGCCAGACTTTCGGACGATGGCAGTAGGTGTAAATCGGAGGGAATTGATAGCACATCGTGGCCACAGCTTGCGAAAGTTGCCAGTCAGGTACCCAGCCCTGGCGTACGGTGGACGGCCTGCTGTGAACGTTCAAACTCTGTTACTGAAAGTTATTGGGCCTGATGAGGTAATACACTGAATCGATTCAGGGAGGGAGTAATTGTTGTATACTCTCATTCCACTCCTATTACTGCTATCAACTCTTTCCAAGGGCAGTCTGCAAAGCTTCAAGAACCTCAGATTTAACCTTTGCAACGTGTGTGTTCTGCTCCAGTTGTACTACTATCAGATAGACGCTGAGTTTCGGCTAGATTAGCACGTATGGCTTCGATAGAAAAATGTTCATTGATGTTTAAAGATGAGTCAGAATTTACCGTCGCAAAACCACCACTAACGAACTTCGCTGTAGTAGGGTTTTCTACACTGGAATAATTAATTTTATTTTTGGCCACTAATTGTTCTCTCGCAAGAAATAATAATCACTAGTCTTTATACCGAATTTGACGAAAAGATTCGCTCTTTTGACACAAACAACAGTTCAAGCATAGCATAACTTGGATAAAAAGCTTAATTCACATTGACGAAGACGAGTGCTAATGCATTATTACACATATCAAAATCGCAGGTTTATAGTCAAGTTGAATTCAGCAAGAAATTTATTTTAACAGTTTGAATTTCTAGTCAGTAACATTTATTCAATATTTTATTTAAATCAATTAATTTTGTAAGATAATCGAAATTCGCAAATTATATAGAAGTAACATTTTACGAATTATCTCTACACAAAACGATTTGTATGGAGAATTCTTTTTCAGCTGTAAATCTGTTAGCTCCTGCCTCTTCTAAATTGGAAATTTTTTATATTCAACAAATCTTTTCTTGATGGTTTTTATATTCTTAAAATCTCTGTAAACTTTTGTAGAATTTTATTCAATGGCTGGTGTTATCAGCTAGCATAGTAACCTGGATTTTCTCATAACAGTTGGTTGGCTAAGAATGGGCCTAATAATTAGAGCTGAGCAAGTATAAATTGGAATATCAAGAATTCGATGCTCCAGTGTCAACCAAATCGACTGCTTTAGACAAATTGTGGTAGACAGGTGGCCAACAGATTTACGATACTAGAATGGTTAGTTAGTTTAACTCGACAAATAGAAATCAACATATTAATATTAAGAATGTTTACACTAACAAAAGAACCCGGTTAACATATTAGAATAACAGTTCGACAATACTAAAAATCATTGATAAACCTTCTTACACAAATGTGTCCCGCTTTATTATTGTGACTCACAAGCGCAGAAAAAAGAACTGTAACGTCGTTTATTGCGATAATCGGTAACCGTTGTTGTGAAAAACTTTACTAATACATTAGAAGTCAGGGAAGACACAGGTAGAGAGCATTTCCAAGTATACATCCCACATTGACGTTAACATAATGCAAACAAATGTCACACCACGTAATCTGGAGGAATCTCGAACTTTTTATCCATCTTAGCCTGGGGAAGTGGTGATCGTTTTGATCGTTTCTTGAATTTCGCCGCTTCCGGGTGTGCTGAAAAATGAGGTTAATAAATGTATGGAAAGGAACAATAAGAGAATTAAGTAAATGTATTGCTTGCTTTTAGTCATACACCAACATTCTATTTAGGTTCCACTATCCTACTATCCCTCTCTATTAAATTTGATGAGCTTTCATAATATCGGTAATAGCTTTCATATTATTACACGCAATGCTTACCTAGTACGATCCCCGATTCGAGAAATACCACAATGATGACAAGTATAAACAAAAACTTAACCACCGTAACTTTCATGGTTGATTATATCGACGTGCTTTTAAGACTGTATTTGATCGTCTGAAGGCAGATGTCGATGGACCGATGTTTATATCTATTTGATTTCGTGCGCAAAAGAATTCCCTGATTTAGACTAGGCGAACTTGTGACAATACGTGTCTAAAAAAACCTTAGATCTGCACTTCCCCTGACTGTTTAAGTGACCGAAAGAGGAATAGCGGGTGGATGCGTCAATAGACATATACCATAGAGATCAACAATGCAGAAATTGATTTTTGTTTTGAAGAACGAATTCCAACTGACTCTGAACGTAGTTGGGGTGTGATTATGCTTGCAGTAAATGAGTATCCGTCGATACTTCCCCTGACTATGAAGTGATCGAAAGAGGTATAGCAGTGGATGCGTCAATAGCCATAGAGATCAACAAAAATGCAGAAAATGATTTTTGAAGAACAAAATCCAACAGACTCTGAACGTAGTGGGCGTGATTATGCTTGCAGTAAATGAGCATCCGCTGATACTTCTCCTGACTATGAAGTGATAGAAAGAGGAATAGCGGGTGGATGCGTCAATAGACATATACCATAGAGATCAACAATGCAAAAATTGATTTTTGAAGAACAGACTCTGAACGTAGTTGGGGCGTGATTATGCTTGCAGTAAATGAGCATCCGTTGATACTTCCCCTGACTATGAAGTGATCGAATAGCGTCAATAGCCATAGAGATCAACAAAGTGAACGAATTCCAACAGACTCTGAACGTAGTTGGAGCGTGATTATGCTTGCAGTAAATGAGTATCCGTTAATACTTCCCCTGACTATGAAGTGATCGAAAGAAGAATGGCGTCAATAGCCAACAAAAATGCAGAAATTAGCATAATTTAAAGATCCGACCCCTTATTATTTGCCTTGTGCTTCGGTGTCCACCAATTGTATCTGCTTGTACGATGTATATCTCCGGATTTTAGAAATAATCGTCGCAAAAACGCTTTTTGGATTTTATATATATACTTATACTTATGCTTATGCTTATAGGCTTACGGGCAGAGGGTGTTTATATAGCAAATTGTTTACATACCCGCAGCAGCAAACTGCAGAGTAAACAATACTGTCGCATAAACAACAATAGATAATAATATGGCACTGTCTGTGATGATTCAAATAACGAGCCTCGCTTACTGTTACGT